AGGGGAAGAAGAGGAGGAGGAAGTTGGTGATCCAGCATCAGTTCCAAGCCCAGAACAAGAAATGGCCTTCGATCATGGCTCCTCAGGCCAGTCAGAAGCTTCAGGTCTGAACTCATTTTCATTTGATTGTTGTGAGAATTATGTTGGGCATAATTTATTTATTTTTCATAGCCAGAGATTTTAAACCCCTCTACCATTTGGTACCATTACTGTGACTGTGAGCATAACCAGCACCATTCAACACAGGAGTCGGGGTTGAGGTGTAGTCAGTTGCTCACCTGCTTCATAAAATTGGAAAGTTCAGGGTTTGAGTTATGGCACTGGAATTGGAGAAATTCTTGCAGCATTCCTCAGTCCATGTGTAGTATTACCTTAAAATAGGATAAGAATACAAATGTGTGTAAGAATTATTTGAAAGTGACGTGCTAAGAATAATAATTAGAAATGAGATGGATGTAATGAATGGAGAGAATTGCACAGTAGTGAAGAGATTGACATGACTTATACTTGCTTCCTTTTATTGATTCTTGGTTGAATTTGGGGAGTTAAAATGAGCTGAGGATGTAGGTTAAATCTGGGAGCCTAAAATGATCTGAGGATGTAGGTTAAATCTGGGAACCTAAAATGCATTTTTAATTTTGGTAGGGAAGTCCAATGGAATGTGATAATTGGAATCTCTAAGTACAGAGAGTAAGACATCTATTGGTATCACAGTTTTTTGCAGTATTTGTATTGGTCAAAAAGGCATGTGACCTTGTATTATATTTCCAAAAAGGTTTCTATGTTACAAATAGGTTTGCCTTTCTGGACATTGTGTTATTCTTGGTATTCTGCCACTGTTTATCAGTTTGGCTGTCTGCTTTAGCTGGATACTGGAGTTTTGAATTGCATGTGTCAGTATCTTGCTTCCATGTTACAAGGATACCTTATTTACCAGGCTGTCTGAAATAACATTTGGAGAAAACCAAGTTACAAAATGTAACAGAATATCTTATGAGCATATGAAATACACCTTGTAATTCTTATAGTATACCGACATGCAGGAGTAAACTATGTTTATATAAAACATAGCAGTAGTGTCTGTATACCGACAATGCCCGTATACAACACATTGTCCATATATAGCAATCGGACAACAAATTTTGGTTGCAGTAGGTTTTTCAATAACGACATTTGTACTGGCAACTGTAGCACATAGAACCTTCTTGAATAGCTTTTAAAATAATTTGTTAATTAATTTTCCATTCTTGAAATTTAGTTGCTGTTATTAATCTTTGTAGTTAATGTGCATTGTGCTTTGATTGTGAATTGTTGCAAGCATAAGTATGAGCCATGTGAAGTGGCAAACCTTGCTTGAAACCCCCTCCAGTAACATCTGTGACTTAACCAGCTCCTGAGGTTTGAATGGGAAGATATGGTTATGTCTTGTGTTTAGATGTAGTGGTCATGTGATTTATAAGAGCATTGAAGATATTTATAATTTAATTGTGCTTTTTTTTTTTAGCAAAGGAAGTAGTGTGAAAATAGGTTCATGTATTTTTCTCGTGCTCATAATACTCGATTCTGACTTGTATTCCCGCTGAACATCATGGCCAAGTGGTTAGCACTCATGCTTTGTATTTTGGAGGTTTTTTACACTTAATCTATTAGCAGTCCTGCACTTCTCTTGAAGTATGGTATCCTTTGTAGCAGTGGAATGAGCGGTATTCATATACTGCTTGCCATGATTACAGGAATGGAAGAAAGCTGACTTAAAATATTTAGTGTTGTTATTTTATATGTACTGGCTTACCAGTATTAAAATCAAATTTGGAGTATGTGTTCTTATGACTCCCTTCTGTGCTTGTTCCTGATTCCAGTGGGGTTTATGCTCCACAAGTGGTGTCTAGTGTCATTCTGAAATGTTTCACAATGCTTTACTGGCATTATTATTATTATTGTTGTTGTTGTTGTTGTTGTACATTATCCATTGTTTGTTGTTTAAAAGCATAAAAATAAAAATTCTAAAGTTTTGAACTTATAAGTAGACATAACATCTTCAGTCCTGTTCTTTAAAACATTTGGTATCTACAAGTCCACATGGCATAACAACTGAGAAAACTAATATCTGCACTTGTGTTTTATTGTTGTGTATGAAACTGTTAATATGTGACATACAATATTAAGTTGTTAGCTACAGCATCTGGATCATTTTACCCAGAATAATCTTGAATAAAATTCCTGTTATATTAAGTTTCCTCACTTTTTCTGTCCAAATATTATGATTAATACCTTCAAATATTCCATGTATTTTCTTTTCCTTACAAATTATTGTGGCTGTGAGCTATCGTGGCACAGATTTTTGTTGGTTTTTGTCAGCCAGTTTCTGAGATATCTGGAAATTGGTTTTAACAGCCTCTTTCTAATTTTTGCACACTATTCATCATATTCACATCTTGTTCAAGTTTATGTAACTTTTGCAGTTGAACAGAGTAAATAAATAACCTAATAATTAAAGCATGCTTATTTTTCACATTTAATTGTGTTATTGTTGTCATGTTCCATGTTTTCTTATTTTGGTAGGATTTCCGTTTTCACAAGACGATACTCCTGCAGTGCAGCACAAACATTCACACATCAGTGGGAAGCCACTCAGTGCACGGAGAGGGCCAGGTCGACCAAGGAAAGACAAACCATCTCCAAGGTCTGCTAAGAAATCAATTGGACTAAAATTAAAAGGGTGGAAGAGGTATGCTTCATTAACTTCCTTGTTAGTTTTTTGCAGATGTGTTGTATGACAAATGGTTCATAAGTTTGCATGAAATCAACATGCATATATCATACTTTCAAAATTATGGTCCTGTTTCATGCAAACTGCATTTGTGCACTAGAATGTGGAACTGTGCGTAGGAATTGGTATGTGGCCCCAACTAAGGATATTTAAAAGTTTTTTAGTTGGCATTGTCCTGTATAATCTGAAAAAGTGGACTTGTTTAGAAAGGAATATACGTCTGGTAAACGATGCCTCCACCCTTCCTGCTGTGTTGCATGTGTATATGAAACACCTCAAAGACTTGTACATTCACTGTAGTAAATGTTCGGTCTGGCGAGTTCCTTGTATCTTCTCGAGTAATTGAAATATATTCTCACAGACATTTTCATCTGCTGGTCTTACAGTATCTTTTAGCTTTTCTAATGAATAAGAGCAATTTTGACCTAACTTTTGCATGGCTATACATCAGGTTTCCTTTGAAAATTAATGTTAGCTTCTTAAAGATGGCAGGAAAGTCCAACAGAAAAGATCTGTTTATTTGAAGTGGTAGTTGTTTGGTGCCTACAGAAGACCCATATGTTTACTTAATCTGAATTTCCTGGTGCTTCAGTGTAGATACCATATGAACAACACAGGACTTGATTATTTGATACTTTAAGTTATAACATGCATTGCATCTTGCTGCTTCACTGTTAGTGTTATATTGTAGCCATAAAAAATCCTTCAGTCACTTAGACTGAAATTTCATCCTTGTCTTGACTTTTGTGCAGTCAAAATTTAAGCAGCTCGGTTATTCATATTCTCTGTTTTTCTTAGTGTCTGTGTGTTTACTGAACATGTTGTGTTGCTGATGTATGATAACGGTGTGAATTTTTATTTGCTTCGACCATGGTTAATAAGTTTCGCTATGAAGAGTGTCATCCACTTTCATTGCAGCCTAACCTTAACTTGGCCATGCTTTGCATTTGCTTTTCAGAACAGCACCAACCAGTAAGACATCAGTAGTTTATGAAAACAAAAGGTATATGAATAAACATAATGCCAGCAAGCAGCAGATCTGTACCACTTTTCAGACTGAACTCAACAGACCAGACACAACACAAATGAAGATACTCACTAACAATGACATAAAGGAAGCAGCATATTTCATACCATAAAGCTTTCTGATGCCAGAACACAGACATATAAAAAGGAAGATAAACTACACAACTAGTGCTAATTATGCAGAGCAAATAGTACACTTAGGAATGTAACATGTGTAATCAAAAAGGTATAACTGCCTCTGATCCAAAACAAAAATTTGTCAAAATAATGCCCCCCCCCACCCCCCCAATCGAGAATGAAGTTCAGGAACCGAAGGTAAATTAGGTGTAATAACATTTACTTGCCAGTTGTTCAACTCTACTCACCTTGGGTGAACAGGTGAGTGGGTTTTTTAACTTGTGATGACAGTAGTGAAAGCACTTAACAGAATTAGTCTTGTTACAGTGTGTCACATGTTATATTTGCAATCTGTGTGTAGTAAATAGCGTAAGGAAAAGTGTGATAGTGAATATGTTTGTAAATGCTGTAGCTGTGAAAGACAGGAGTACTTGTGTCATTTATTCTCAGACTGTTCCACAAAACATAGAGGATAGTGCGAGGTATTCTCTGAGAGCTGTTGGGATAACATTTGTAATGGTGGTTTACATTATGACTGCCAAGCAGGAAACTAATAGATTTTGAATGCTTTTCTCATGTAGACAAATATTTTCTATAATAAAACCATACTCTTCAAGTTTATTTTATTTGTTTTGTTATTCCCATGTGATCTTGGACTTTTGTGGTACATAAAGGAGACAATATATGTTTTTCTGCATTTAGGATCTAACCCTCAAATTTCGCTCTGTAATTATGAATTTCTTCTTTGCTATCCCAGGTATATTGCTTAAACTTTGTTTGCTGCCTTTTCTCATGCACTTGCATGAAATTATCCTCTTCTGTTTTTTCATTGTATCTGAAACTTTTATCTTCAGTCTGCAGTTCTCTCAGTATTCTTAAAAGGGCAAAATGTTTTGGGAGAAACATTGTCCTTTCACATGATACTGTGTGGATTACACCTTTACTGTTAAGTTCTTCTTCTTATAGCAATGTGTTTGTCCATGGGATCGAAAAATCACCAACTCTTATCAAAG